TCTACCTATCATGACCCAGAAAAAAATTCCCCAACAGGGCATAGCCTTCTCCAATCACCGTGATCCCACAAAATATTCTCCAAGCTAAGGTTAGGTTAGCTAACTCGGTGCAAACCAAACCAAACCAAACCAAACCAAACCAACATTCAATACTGGCCACTCGAGTTCTTGGTTCAAATTTTTGTCTTCTCCCAAAGGAAATTATACTTGGTTTGATCTGGCCTTGTCTTGCTTATATTGCAGTGAAAGGGGGAAAATGTCCACTCACGAATCTATCTCTGATGAGGGCGAATGGCTCGACCTGGAATCGGATGAGGAGTCAATCCCCATTACATCCTTCTTCAGCGCCCAAACCTTCCCTACTGTTGCCGCTATGCTCAATGATAGCAGCAAGAATCATGGTTTCAGCTTTGCCGGCTATGTCCAAAAGCTTCAGCTTGACTTTCACGGTGCTGTCAAGCTCGTCAACTTTGTTCGTGATAATGTAAAGAATGGCACACCATTGCCCAAGGAGATTTCTGCAAAAGACCTCGCAGACGAGAAGTACCTTCAGCCTGTTCTGGAGAACGATGCTCTCATCTTTTCTCTGGACGAAGTATTGGAGAGCATTACCGACGACCAAGCAGCTGGATCCAGCGATGGAAATCTCAAGGCCCGTAACAGGGAACTGGAGGAGGAGCTCGAGAAGCTCAGGGATCAATTTTCCAGCTACCGCTTGACGGTTCAGCAGACACTTGATAAGCGATGGGGCGATGATACTGAGACGGCTGCAACGGAGAAGAAGGATGACTCTGCCTACTACTTCGAGTCGTACGCCGCACATGGTACATCCCACCACTTATCGATATCTTGATCTGTTTGTTCATACTGACTGTGTCCAGAAATTCACGAGACCATGCTGAAAGATGCCGTACGAACTGATGCGTATCGTGACTTCATCTACAACAATAAGCACATCTTCAAGGACAAGGTCGTCCTTGATATCGGATGTGGCACCGGTAAGCCTAGTCATGATTTCGATCTTGACTCAACACACTAAAGTTTTTGACCTAGGTATTCTGAGCATGTTTGCTGCAAAGGCTGGCGCTAAGCAAGTCATTGCTGTTGACAAGTCAGACATCATTGTCAAGGCTAGGGAGAATATTTTCCATAACGGTCTGTCCGATGTTATAACAACTCTCAAGGGTGCCATCGAGGATGTCAAGCTGCCTGTAGACCAGGTTGATATTATTGTCAGCGAGTGGATGGGCTACTGTCTTCTCTATGAGGCTATGCTTCCAAGTGTCTTGTATGCTCGAGACCGTTACCTGAAGCCTGATGGTATTCTCGCGCCCAGCTCTGCCACAATCTGGATTGCCCCCATTGCCGACCCTGAGTATGTTTCGGACCACATCTCTTTCTGGAGGGATGTTTACGGCTTTGACATGAAGACTATGCAAGAAGGTATCTACAAAGAGGCCCGTGTCGAGGCCATGCCACAAAGTTCTGTCTGTGGTGAACCCTACCCCTTCAAGGTGCTTGATCTCCATACCGTCAAGACCGAGGATCTTCAGTTTAGCGCCAGGTGGTCGTCGAAACTCACCCGTGAGGTCGAGAATGTCGACGGGCTCCTCATTTGGTTCGACAACTTCTTCACGACATCCAGAAGCGACCCAGTACCCCCTGCCGAGACAACACCAGAGACCTGGGACAAGAAAGACCAGGGAGGCGTCGCATTCACTACAGGCCCTTCTGGCACTGTCACACACTGGAAGCAGGGCCTTCTTCTCGCTCCTCCAGAGGCCACATCGTCTGCCAAGTCGCCCAAGAGTCTCTCCGGAGATATCGTTTTCGCGGCAGCTGACGACAATGCCCGAGCGCTGGTTCTCAGGGCTTCTTGGACTGATTCTGAGGGTGGTACAAGGAAGCATTCATGGCAGCTGAAATAGACGCATCTTTTACCAGGCTTGGACACGGCCAGCAAAGTCTGAGAAGATGGTGTCCCCACGAGTCGAATACGGTACGCGATGCAGTCACAGATGAGGCACATTCAGGCCTTGCAGCAAGAGGTTTACAATGCTCAGGAAGCCCTCGCCAAGAATGAATCCCTGAAGGGGGTCAGGGTGGTTTCGACATGAATGGACAAGATACGTACCGAAGCAAGGATGATGAGAGGGGTCTGCGTCCGTCGCGCGACACAAGTCCAGTACCATGCAAACAGACCGCCAACGGTTCGAGCCAGTGTGAAAGATGGGACGTTATACATGCCTTGTCAGGTGTCAGCGAAAGTATCTCCCTCGGGGTCAAATATAGCCAACTTACCAACGGCGACAGCAATGCCACCAGGAATCAGAGGTCGCCATCTCTTACCGATAGCGAGCGTTCTGGTGATAGTTGCAAATGAGAATAGAACCGCAGCTCCAATGGCCCATTCCTTGACACGATATGGTAGTCCAGAACCTGTGACAAGCCTTGCAGTGAATATCCAGACGTAGGCGGTTGGTACCTGGAAGAGATCACCAGGAATCGTATATACGCTGCATTTCAACTGTCTTAGCCAGGTCCTCTTTCAAGTGTGAGATGGTGAAGTGATAGGTAACCTACCTCGTGTAGACACGGTAGATGAAAGCACTCAGAACAGCACCGACGCTTGCTCCAATGACTTGACCCCAGAATTGGGCTTTCGGAGCTGCTCCCAGTAAGTGCCCGGTTTTCAGGTCCTGCATGAGATCGCCAGCTTGCAAAGCACCAGCTTCGGACTATGGCAGGTTAGAACATTTACCTGAAGATGTAGGCATAGGAATCACTTACTACAGCACCAGCGATCAGGTTGATCAAGACACTGGACTTGTGAGTCTGAGGGATGATAAAGGCAAAGAATAGCTGCGCAAGTTTGCTAATGCCAGATACGGGGTTCAGATCCGTCTCACCCAGCGCCCTAACTCCCATGATACTTAACACCAGGGCCATGAGAACAGCAATTGTGGTGGCGTAGAGCGGTACAAGGTTGCCAAAGACCAAGTGAATAGTGAGGACGCACAGAGCTATCGAAGCAAGAAGGCCGATCGTTACCATACGGGGCCCAATGCGCTGGTGGGGAGGAGCATCTTCCTCATCGTCATCGCGGACAGGGGCATTTTCATCAGCTCCATAGCGCCTCTGAGAAGCCTCAGTCTCGTTACTCAAGAGTGGTGAATAGTCATGGCTCGGGTTCTTCCACAAGCCAGAGACGCCATGTTCCTGTACTCTCTGGCGTAGGGAAGACATAATCCCAGTAACCCGTTGGCTGGCAAAGATTCCACGGAGGGCAACGTAAGCAAGGCTGACAATTGCATCTGCCAGCATAATTGCCAACGAGATCCAGATGATCCATCCTTTGCTACCATGTTCCCAATCATCAACATCTCCAGGCGCCCATCCCCGAGATTTGGCCAGAGGACTGAGGATTCCCCAGCCAACTACAGCACCAAGAAGCATATGCAGCGTCGTTTCGGTCCCCATTATGATTCCCTGGCCGATATAAGCAAAGCTGGGGTTGAATGCCCAGAGCCATGTGTGAGCTGCGGCAGAACCAAAGATTGGCAAGTTGCGCAGTATGGGGAAGAAATATGTCGCCAGAGTATAAAGCCCAGAGCCACCAAAACACAAAAGTAGCAATTTGATATTGGCTGCCCAGTCTCCTATGTCCGACACGTCATCACCAGCATTCTGTTGATGCTCCTGGTCCGTAGCAGCCCGTCCAACGGTTTCTGGTTCAAGAGGCTCGTCACGAGGAACGAGACTTGCAAAGCCGCCTTTGGAAGCAGCGTCAAGCTCGTCTTTGGTGGATTGGCGGCCTTGTCCATGCAATACTGAGATCAGCACGGCCGTACTGAACCCACTGGGAAATTTGAGGCGCTCTCGGATGATGACTTGCTTGCGTCTGGTGGATATCAGCAAGATTGAAGCAGAAAGACATGGATCATATAATGGCTTACAGGGGAACAGCAAAGACGACGCCAAAGTAGCAGAGTCCCAAAGACCAGATGATGAGCTGCCAGGTACTCAGGTCGATCGGGCCCTGCTCATCTTGAGCCAAGAGATAGTTCAATGCCGGAATCTGCCTCACTAGTCAGAACAGCCTCTTGATAAAATATGAGTCTAGATGACATACAACGCCAACAAAGCCGCATCCCAGTGGCATAATAGCCATGCCACAAGCTACGCTCTGGAGCAATACATTCTCAACAGGAGAAAACGGAAACCTTAGATGCGGCGCAAGGAGTCTGAAAATACCAAAGCCCATGAGACTCGCAGGCATTGACATGATGGAAACCCATCCTGTCTGCAAGCCAAAGTACATATTGGAGAAGCAGATGATGGTGCCAACTGCGAGACCAGCTACAACGCCTCGCAGCGTGAAACTGCGCCCTGGAACCACGCGTGTCGCCATTCTCTTCTCTTTTTTTTTTGTTTTTTTTAGGGGGGGGTTCGCCTGTAAGCAGCTAACGAACGGCGATGTTTGGTTCAGGGACGCGTTAGAGGGATGGTTGTGACGTTAAGTGAGATGAGATACGTGAGGTACCTTAGGTACCTAGGTACCTAGTAGTTAACCATATTACTAAGCGAACCAACCCCACATTCCGATATCCGGGAGACTTTCCGCTAATAACTTATCGACGGTTAACACCTCTGTACTTTAATAATTTACAGGTACGGAGTAGGTAGGTACCTATCTTAGGTACCTACCTACTATCACATCGACCTCACAAGATACAGGTGAGTACTCTGTAGGTTAGTAGGTACTTAATCAATAGGTAGGTGTCTTCCAAGTAGAGACACTTTTATTACCACTGAAGTTTAACTGCTCTTACATACTTGCTATCGTGCTTGCAGTATAGCCCTACGAATCAACTCTTCCCAGCCTTGACTCCATTGCCTCGCCATGCATGAGCTTCAGTATAATTACATGAAGCCCACTAGGTACTAAGCAACACACACACACATCGCCGCCTCTTCAATACTGCAACTCAACAACCCCATCAGAAGCCGAAACTGTCGAGCAGAGAGCCAGCATCTGGTTCTTCAAATGTCGTGGGCGGTGGTTTGACCGTCTTCTTGTTCTCCCAGTGAGAGTCGAATCTAAGAGTTGGTGAAGGCAAGTCGGCAACCACCAAAGAGCTTCTCCGGCGAAGCAGCTTCAGAGGGTTGACCTCTCCACCAAGGCCAGTTGCTCCAGGTGACTGTTGGAACTCCCAATTACGTACTATTTCACAGTCAGTGAACGTGTGCTTGCTTGCTACTTGTATTGTAGTCTTGCACGCACCTATATCCAATCCCAAAAGATCGCATCCCATTCTGTCATATAGCTTGGCGCTGTGCAGCACAAACTCCCACTCAACTTTCGGTGTAATCTTAGATGCTCCTCTCAAAGTTTGCAGAGTCTGGTGACGTAGATGTGAGTAAAGGACAACCAAGGCAGGGTCGTCGGTCAAAAACAATCGAGACTTGATGTCTGGTGAACAAGGTGTTTCCAAGAGAGTATACACCGGTGTCTATATCAACATGTCAGCGATTCAGCTCCTATCCAGAACTTGACAGATCACAACGTACAATAAGTGCTCGTACGGCCACATCTTTACGGCCGAGCATCCAGAAGGCCCATGCAGCCAGCCAGCGGTTACCCTCCTGTGCTGCTAGGGGGAGCACTGTATCTTGAAGAAGACGGCGCAAGACAGGACCGTCATCGCCTTCATAGACCCGCGATATTGTGATGGCTAATTGCATGTCTTTCAGCTGATTCAGACAGACCTGAACAGCGTCGTGGAGGTGGTCCGCAAGAAGGAAGAATGCTGCAGCATACTCTGTTCACGATCAGCTTTTGTACCAGAAAGCTGCTACCTCAAGGATATCTTACCGAATCGTCGCCTACTAAGCAAGGCATAGGCATTCTTGAGTGCTGCCGATCTCCATTTAGGGTCTTCAAAGTTGTTTGCCAACAGGCGTTGAGTGGCTGCTTGCTCTTTGTTCCAATTTGCCATTCTCCAAAGACCTTGGAGGACCGTCTTCTTGCGGAGCGCGAGGTAGTAAAGACTGCAATCAACCGGGTTTTTGACCTCGTTCTTTGTGTACTCGTTTCTGGCGATCAGCTCGAATTGAGCTTTCTAGAAGATGTTAGCTACCGTAACAAGTTCGTCAGATCGGAATGGTCTTTACCGATGCAGTAGGATCAGTGAGCCACATGAACAGGCCACTTTCACGAGCATGTTCCCAAAGCATACTGCCATGGTTTTGTCGCGATACAAAGTCAACCAGAATATCTTGGCTGTTGGAGTGGAAAGCCCAGTTGATTTCACGCCATGAGAGATGCATCTCGTTGGTTCGTCCTTTGCGGAGGGCATGTTGACGGAAGAGCAGCATAAATCGAGCACCATTCTCGTCCATCGATCGGCGGTGTCTCTCAACAAGGGCAACGCATTCAATAATATCAGCGAGCTGAATCTGTTCGTGTCCTGAGAGTTGGATGATATCAATCTTGACGAGCTTCTCGTTGATCGAGACCGCGGTCTGCTCCGTAAAAACATCCTCGTCATCCGTCTCATCCGTGTTGCTTCCATTCAGATAGACCCCAGAAGACTTGTCGACAGCTAGAGTATGACTTTGCTGAACAATTGGATTAGCACGGCCTGCTGTGTCCTCGGCATGATCGAATTGTCACTTACCTCGGGTATATAGAATTCGCTCAAGTCCATTCTCAGGTAGTCATCCAGCATTTCGCCGTTAATGTGGTATTTCAGGGTCCTATGTAAAGCCACCAAGATGCGCCTGACAAGGGTCGCCTTCCCTGAAAGGATGCATTGCATGAGAAACTGGGGATGAAAGACTGGCAAGGGGCCGTTGAATCTTTGAACGACCTGAAATAAGTCTAGTTTGCCATCTTTTCGCAGAGGAAGACGCAGATCCGTCTTCATAGACTCGGAGATTCCAACGTGCCTGTCCTGCACAAACATCTGGTTGCCAGCACCAATAACCAAGTGGCCGTCGCCCAACCAAGTTGAGTCGCCGATTGGGTGAGGTGTGAGTTCTCGAATGCTGATCTCGCGAATTTGTGCCCATGCTGGGCCCTTGTTGAGATAATCAAATCGCATCTGAGAGAGGAGGACGATTCGGTAAGGGAAACCAACGGCGAGAATAGACTGGCCATCAGGTGTTGATGTCCAGTCAAGATCTTGAATCACCTGGTGCTCTTGAAAGTTGTTCTCATATTCGAGACGAGCACCGCCAATGTCCCAAATTGTCAATTGCGATCTCGACGAATTCACGAGGGCAGCTTTCTTCAATGTACTGCCACTGACCAGTGCTGGCTCAGAAACTCCCGTCTCCGTGGTACACGTCGATAGCCATCCAACGCTTCGCTGTTCAGGGTCAACTCGTGCAGTCCAAAAGTCCACACGGCCCGTGTGTGTATAAGAAACGGCAACATCGCGAGCGAATACATCGAGAAAGCCCGAGACGATGGGCTGCGAACCGGCAGGATCAACTGGCAACACATAGGCCAGACTCTTTATGTCCTTGATTTCAAAGCGGCACAGTTCCTCCACATTGGCTCCGGCTGTTGTCTTTGGGTCATCAAAGTAGCGAGGCAGTTGAACCTCCCACACGATACCGTGTCCTTCCGACGTTATCGTCGCAATATGAGCAACGGTATAGTTCTTGACATCTGATCGAGGCAGAATGATGAGGCACAGTGGCTTCCCTGACACCTCGTAGTCACACTGAGAGAGGGCAGTAGCTCGACTTGTCCTACAATCCCAGAGCGAGAATGTGTCATGGCGAAGGAAAACCACGAAACGCCCCTTTCTCAGCACACATATGCGATGTATGTGACCCTTCTCTGGGATAACGCTCCCTCGTGTCAAGGTCAGGCCCGAGCTGTTCCGTGGGCTCAGAATATGTTTCCACACGATACTTTCACCGTCTCTGGTTCGAGAGACCACCGCTCGCCCGCTGAAATTTCGGACGATCTTGGTGATGGAAGTCGAATGTCCAGACCAGATTGTTTGAAGGGCGAGGCGTCGATCATTAGTCATGGGGTCGAAGAGATCGGCAACGCTTCCAGTAAACACGCCTATTCTTCCGTCGAACGCATGTAACATAAAGTGAACCTTGCCACTCCTCTTGTCGCAATACGTTTGTATCTCTGTGTGAGGGGTGTCTTGAACCGGAAGGAAGTTGCTGAGAAGCTCAAAATGGACATCCTTGACTTGAGCCACCTTGAAAAGGGTTGGTGAATTTGCGGTGCTACTGCCGACATTCTCGAGCGCCCATGCCGACATGATTCCCTTGCCATCAAGAGCTATACATATTTCTGGGTTCTTAGTCGCGACTGCTACTAGGTGATCAAGGGCAACAGGGTCGTCGGTGGCTGAGTCGTCAGACATTCGCGCCTGGACAGCTTGTTCAACAGAGGCTGTGAAGTCTCGCCCGTCAAGAACCAGAGCGAAGCGCATGTCCAAGCCCTCTGGGTTCTCTTGCGATGGCGCGCAAAGATCGACCTGTCCCCATAGCTGCCAATGCTTCCCGTCGGGTGTGTCGGTAGGTGTCCAAACTCGAATGCATTTATCGAGACATGTGGTGTATAGAACATTGTCGGAGGCCTGCTCAACATGGAATGGTCTGCGCCATCTCACAGATGTTATAATGTTCGGGTGTCGGAGGTATGTGAGATCGAATCGGACTTCGTCGGCACCAAAGTTGAGTCTCCTCCAGACCTTAATCAAGTGGTCATGATGGCTCGACGTGGCGATGTATCTCGAATCGTACGACAATAAGGCATATTTGGCGATGCTCGGCAGCTTCTTTTGCCAGAGACACCTCGGTTCGGTCTTGGTGTCGAAAAGGGACAGGTATTGTGTACCCAACAACAGCTCTGCGGAGCTGCCCCAGGACAACGTACACGGCACGTCGTCGGGGTTCGGATAGGGAATGTCCAAGGTCGATTGGAGCGCCCACTAGTAGAGTCGTGAGCTGAGTTTCCTAAGCATTTCTCATGGAACCGGGCATTGGAACCTTCAAAGTGTCTTGGCGCGACCCGAATGGCTTGTACACACGGACTTGGGTCAATGTGCAAGTAGCGATCTTGCCTGTCGCCTCGTCGAATGCGATAGCTTCTAGCGGTTGTTCGCCTTCATCATAAACTGTCTGTAGAATGCCGTGGGATCCTTCCAAGATTGCAAAGGCGCTTCCTGTGATGTAAACCTATGCAGCATCAGCTCATCAGCTGGGTCCAGAGCTCAGGAGGAGAGCTTGGTAAGATACTTACATTAATGTGTCGCGAGTCCCAGTAACCCGAGGCAAGCCCTTGGAGCCTCGAGCGCGGGTTGCCCGGCAAGACGGCCTTCATGCTATTAAGGAGAGCAGTTTGCGCGCATCTCTAAGGAATTGTGATGGCGCTACTACCCTATATTCAGGTGCAAGAGAGAGGAGCTTGAGATCTGACAGCTGAAGCTTTGGTGAGCTAAGTTGCCAGAGTCAATCAAATGGGAGTTATCCGTAGACCCCAGCGTGATTAGAGGTGACGTGCCCCCCCCCACACACACACTCCGGCTCATGCACAAGAACCCATGACAATAAATGCTACGACCCTAGGTACGTAGGTATCTTCAATTACAGAAGCTGTCTACAGAAGCTAAACATAATTTTGTCATTGGAAGAGTGTAGATGTTTTTCTTCGTCTGTATTATATAAGGTAATCAGAGCGTTGGCGTATATTAACATCCATGTAATGGTTTAGAGCTTCATGGCTCGAGTCGACGATCACAACACGATATATTGCTTATCTACACTTCTAATAACGAAAAGACAGCCATATCTATCCACATGGACTTGGTATTCACATCTACCTACTCGAGCAAATTCGTGTCAAGTAACGAATTTTTCAAGATCAGCAATTTTCATAAACTATTGCCTATCCAACGCCTTCGACGGATCGTCGCTATGCATTCACATATAACAATAACACCAACAGAAAGGGGTATCCTTTTATCAAACAAGTCATCCAACGTTCAGAGAAACACATACAGATCATCCATAGCCAATCCAACTCTTGCAAACCGCCAAAGCCAGCATCGCACATGTTCCTCCTTGATGTATATACTAATAGCCACCCTGGTCAACAGGGTTATTGGTTTGCACTCACACGGCTACGCAGCTGATCCCCTCTTGGCAATCCTGGTGGCCGAGATTGTGGGGTAGCCGATAGTGTTCTCGGTGATTGAATACGCACAGATCTTGTGGCTGGCGTAAACTTAGTAGTGGTGGTCTGCCGCGGAAGTCCAAATCGCGTCGCAGATGGTCTCGCGCCCACGGATTTGCTGATGATGGCTGGGGAGTTTGGCTCCGGCGAGGAAGGCAAAGGTCCAATCGTACGCCCATTTAGAGGCCTGATTCCAAATGATCTCGCAGCTACTGGCCGCCGTGAGGGTTCAGGCCGGCCGGGTCCTGCTGTGCTCGCCAGGTCCTGGTCAAACTCAGGGTCACGACCCTGGGTGTCTCGCTCTAAATGCGATGGGACTGGTGCCATCGGTGTCGTGGATGGCAGACCTGAGAACTGGCCAGGTCCTCGCGAAGCAGGTCTCAAAGATGGCGAGGCTGGTAGCTCATCATCTTCATCGCCCGCTAGCGAAAACGCCTCAGCATTCTCGTCCGCCTCTCGAAGCGGAGCCATGGATCCTGGTGGCATTATAGTCGACATGGAGAATGGCTGCCCAGTCCATCTAGTCGGTGTCTCGAGCGGTGTACTGGAGTAATCAAAGCCCCTATCATTGCGACTGGCCAGTGATCGCCTCCCAGACAATGCTCGCCAACTTCCGCGTGGCCATACAGCCGGCACAGATTGTGGCTGTGGGCGAGTTCCAGGAGCCACGGATCGAATTCTATCGTCCCGTTGACGCCAATATTGCAGTACGCGGTTACGCCTTTCGCGTTCGTGCTTCCTTTGAACTTCAATTGCTGTGTGACCCTGTCCACTTTGTTGTAACGATGCAATTGACCAGGACTTGAGGGACTGCCGTTGCTTGTCGGCTGCCCAAAGCTGCCAGGCATCTGTATCCCGCTGCTCAAGTTCGACGGTGTACACTTTCCAAGTTTCCAACCATTCCTCTGCATGTTGCAGTTTGGCTTCTTGCATGCGCCTTTGGTCAATGTCCGCTTGGCGTTTCCATGCATCAGTAATCAGGATAACCTGTTGGGTATCTCTATGGGTTCGCAACTCTTGTATCAAGTCGCTCCGCGCCCTATCCTCCGTCGCCAATACCATCCATCGATCGATAGCAGCAAGGAAATTGCGTTTCTTTCGAGCAGAAGAGACTTGGGTATACCTAGCCATCAGATACCTCTTGATCTGCTGCTTGTCTTGGTCTCTACGGCTTTTGATCGCTCGATCAAAGACTTGCAACAATTTGGTAGCTCCGAGATAGAGTTGAGCTCGATCCCCCAGACGTGACATGTGTGACGAATGACGCTTAAATTGCCTGAAAGTCCTTACAACATTGGACTTTGCTTGTTCCTCATAATACTCTTCTGCTCTTCGGCCCATGTCCGCATCTTGTTCGGCGCATTGGAACCATCGGTCGAACACTCGCGTCACTTGAAGATACTCGCGCCTCCACTGGAATGCCTGGGCTCTTGCCCTCAAGTTCCACTCATCGAAAGCATGGTTTACCTTCTCGATCATCAATCGCTGGCGGTACCCGCCCGCCCTTCGACTGACCTCAGCTTGATCCCACCATTCTCGAAGATATGTGAAGGAGTGCTGAATATCTCCAATTCTCATGGCAGTGTTATATAGTTGGCTTTCATTTTCTGACATGCCCTGCCATTTGTGAATGGCATCCACTTGGAGTCGCAAAGTCGTTTGGGTCTGTATTGCTTGAATGAGAGCCTTGTCATGAGAAGCCTGTGACAGCCACTTTGACATGGCTCGTGTCCTACTACGCGAGGCTGTCATTTGACGGCCGAGGTGTTTGAGTCGGTGGCAAGACCATATATCAAGGACTCGCTGAACTCTTCTCTGCTCGTAAGCCCGAGCAGCTTCTATCGCAGTGGCCTGTAAGCTTTTCTCTTGGACGACAATACGTTGCCACTTCTTCACGACCACGGCTGCCCTCATGTGGTCGGTGGTAGGTTCACGGAGTGCAGGGGCTTGGCTCCATGATCGGAAATAGCGAAATCGTATCATATGCCGTCTTGCAACGGCGTCTCTTTCCAGACGGCGTGCAGTGCGGTCAGCCCAATGGTTGAAGACCTTACTTGCGAGGTAGATCTCACGAGCTCTGCCGGCCTGTTTGAGGAGCCTGTTCTGTTCTTTTTCCGAATCAATCTGCGGCTCGGGTGTCAAAGGGCCTTCGTCAGCGGGTTGTTCGTGTTGAGATATTGTATTTCTAGTGCGTTCCTGGGTTACAGGATGATGAACAATTGTCCCTTCGTTATCAGTTACGGTGTTAGATCGAGCCGCTGTGACTGGAGAAAAGACTTCCGGTGGATTTTGGATCTGTGTATGTTGAGAGGGTTCTGCTTCAGGTTCGTCGAGTTCTTCGGGCACTTCAGGCACTTCAGGCTCTTGGAGTTGTTGTGGAGGCTCCTCAACTGGGCTGTGAGGTAATTCATCATCATCATCGTGACGAGATGGCTCATCAAAGTGCTCCTCTTTCAACGTATTCCCTTGAATTAGAGAAGTCGTAGATCGTATGGCATTGCTTAGAACAGAAAGGGGTCGGTGCATAAATGACTGAGCAGAAACTGGCCTTGTGTGTATATCTGTTGGGTCTTTGAGAGAAGTTTGAGTGTGAGGCTCGAGTCCATTGACATATGGAGACGTCGCTGTTTGATGCCCGGTCACTGGTGGTCGATCTTCAAAGGGTTGAGCTTCAAAGTTCCTCACATCGGCTGAAGCTTCTTCCGGAATGCTTGGAAAAGAAGGAATCCGCTGTGCAGGCTGTGCTCGACGACTCGCTACCAGAGAGCGCCAGCGGTTCATGGCTGAAGAGACAACCGCCTTTCGCATTTCCTCATATGCCCCCTCCTCCTCCTCGTCATCGTCGGTCTCGGAAAAGTCCAGTCCATCCCGGGGGAGACGTTGCGATTCTGGTGGAGAGACTGACGGTGACGGTGACGGTGACGGTGATGGTGATGGTGATGGTGATGGTGATGGTGATGGTGATGGTGATGGTGAAGCGGAAGCTGGTGAATGTGGGACTGTAGGTCCAGTCGTGGCATGGCCGTTTTGTAGGCCTTCATGTGGAGTAATTTGCTGGCGCGAGATGGCATGGCTCTGGCGACTCGATGAAGATACTGCGGGAGATGTAGAGGCTGAAGTTCGCGGCGACGCAGTAGTATTATCACCGAATTCTAAAACGATTCCCATTCGACTGAGGATAGCTTGGAACTTGTCGAGCAAGTTGCCGTCGCCTCGCTCACCGCCAACGCGGAAGACGAAAGTCGACAAGTGGTGATCTGAATCGGGGTCAATTCCATAGGTCGGGAGCACGACGTCGTACGCCTTGAAGAGCGCAGCAGCAGGGAGAGGTTTCGGCTCAGGCGCTGAGTCGAGCAATTCCTGAGCAGCGACGACTACCGCGTGCAGCGCAGCGATGTCTAGGCGGGTCGGTCAGTTTCAGATCGCAGCAGCATCGCAAGAATGATACGGACCTTCGTTGGAGTAGTATGGGTCCTGGCTAGAGGGTGCCCGACTGGCATTGCTCGAGCGGCCATCATCAGACGGTGAGGCCGCTCTCTGCGCAGCCGGCGACATCGATACTGCTGGTGAAGTCGCATTTGAGCCCTGGCGAGAGCCGTCGGAGGACATGGACAGGTATTTAATGATTGGCGAGATGCCCACATCCGTCATTGACCCATAGTCAAGAAGTCGGTGTGTACCCAATGAAGCGCGAGCTGTTCTGCTTTGTTCTGTTGTCTGTCTGTCTGTCTGTCTGTCTGTTTATTTATTTAGGTAGGTTAGTAGCACAAATACAGATTTGCCAACAGTCAAACTTGAGTCGACTTCGCGAAAGTATTGCGCTTCAGTAAATCGGGTTATAAGAATGCAAGAATAGGAGTCGACAAAGACGATGTTAGCAGCGCTTCAAGAATTGCACTACCGTAATTCGACGAGGGGGTCGTATCCAAACAAAGCGCAATCTGAGTTCCAACCCAACAGAAAACGTACGCGAATTTGCGCGGTCGCGATGCCAACGGCCAACAGCTCGCTCGGACGTGTAAAGTGGGTGGCTGGTGCGCAAACGCCTCATGGGGCTTGATAGCCGTACTGTGTTATTCGATGGTCCACCTTGTCGGCACTGTATGAGCAATACTAACCTACGTACTCCGTACCTAAGGTAGGTATAGTAGGTACTAATTTTCAGCACCTACACCTACTGGTCATTCACTATCTTCAATCATCTATCCCCATCCCTCACAAAGTCACCATGAACCAGCAAAAAACTCGCCCCATTCAAAAGTTTGCTAAAGCAGTCTCGCAATGCTCTGTCGAGGTCTGAATTCTCTTGTCATACCTGAATCAAATCACTAAAATCTGGTAGGCTACGGCATATGGCAAGTGTATCGTTGCCGACTATAACGCTGTCCACAAGGATAAGTGTGCCAAAGAGTTTATGAGGCTCAAAGATTGTTATTTAGTATGTCCTCCTATCTATTCGCTATCAACGGCCACAAGTCTGACACTGTTCTGTCACTTAAGGCTGCATCCAAGAAAACATGATGCACTCACGTAGCCACAAATAATACACTTGTAATCGAACATTTTGTTTAATACTTTATCTCCTACATAAACTTCAATTTTATTTCCCAGATATTTACAGCTTGAGCAATCTCAACAAAAATGTTGCCTGTTGGACCTCTTGCTCCTCCTCTGCAATAAGACCCTCAGTCTGTGGTTCTGCTCCAGTCTCCTCTAGTGGTCGGCGCAGGACTTTCTCAAACACTGGATTCTGGGACTTGAATGCACCAGACAAGCCAATATCTTCAGGGTCTGCAATGACGCGGTACTCCATCTTGATGTCGTCCGTTGGCACCAGACCTGCCTTCTTTCGAAGCCTCTGTACACGGTTGATGATCTCACGTCCTAGACCCTCAGCTGCCAGCTCAGGGTGAATCTCAGTGTCTAGAATGGTGAGCACATCGCTATCAGTGTTGATCTCCAAGTTCTTGGAGGACTCATCCTCCCTGATACCTCTGCGCACAACAAGATCGCCCTCTTCCAGACGAATACCGTCAACAAAGATTTCCTTATCACGGACGTATCCCTGAACCTGCTCGCTGGTAAGGAGAGGCAACCCCTTCTTTACGCGGGCCATATCCTTCTTGAGCTTCTTTCCGAGAACAGGCCAGTCGGCGGTGACGCTGTATTGGACGTTGTACTTGGCTTCGTCACTTGAGAGCAAGAGGTCTCGCACATTCAACTCCTCGCTGATATACTTCTCAAGGGACTTGACATCCTCAAGATATTGAGGATCGGAGTGAATGACCACCAGTGTCTTGAGAGGCTGCTTGAGACCGATGGTGCGGCGTTCACGCGATACACGAGCGAGTTCAATGACACGCTGCATGCGGCCAACACGTCGCTCCACCTCCTCATCGAACAGCTCTTCGCGGACATCGGGGAATGGCAGGAAGTGCACGCTCCGGGGATCTTCGCTTTGGAGCTCCTTAGGAATGTGAGGTAGAAGCTTTAGGTAGATGTTGTCAGTAAGGAAAGGGGTGAAAGGTGCCAGTCCACGGCACAAAGTGAACAGCACCTCAAAAAGGGTGTTCAGGGCATGGAGGGTATCGTCGAGACCGTTCTCTCCCTTGAGTCGCTTTCGGTTGAATCGAATGTACCAGTTTGTTGTGCTGTCAATGAGACCAAGAAGCCTGGGTACGACAGTGTACAAACGGTATGAGGCCATCTCCTTGTTCACGAACTGGAGGAGGCTTTGGCAAACTGCCAGAACCCAGCGGTCCATGACATTAGTGTTGCTTGACTCCAACTTAGGATCCCAGACGAAGTCCACGCCCTCTGCCTTCTTAAGCAGAGCAACTTGGCCCTCAAAGAACTTGTAGCTGTTCCATAGCGGCAAAAGGACCTTCTGGACGACCTCCTTGACGCCAGACTCCTTGAAGCGGAGGGGCTCGGCTCGCACGACAGGAGAGTTGATGAGGTAGAGTCGAAGAGCATCAGAACCGTATTTGGACATGACGATAGAAGGGTCGGGATAGTTTTTGAGACGTTTCGACATCTTCTTGCCATCCTCCGCAAGCACAATACCGTTGACAACACAGTTCTGGAACGGCGACTTGCCAAACAGGTGAGTTCCCAGCACTGTCAGCGTATAGAACCATCCACGGGTTTGATCCAGACCCTCAGCGATGAAGTCTCCGGGGAATGACTGTTTGAACTTATCAACGTTCTCGAAGGGGTAGTGCTGGCTGGCATAAGGCATGCTTCCAGACTCGAACCAGCAGTCAAACACTTCCTCGATACGCTTCAGTTGGCCCTTGCCCATCTTGCTGGGAATAGTGATATGATCAACCTTGTCGCGGTGAAGATCAGACAGGTCACCGTCATATCCACTCAATTCGCGAAGCTCTTGAACACTTCCAATGCACACTCTCTCCTCCAGATCATCGCTGACCCAAAGAGGGATGGGGGTGCCCCAGTATCGGTTTCGGCTCACGTTCCAATCACGGGCATTGGCAATCCAGCTGGCGAATCGCTTCTCCTTGACAAATGACGGAACCCAGTGGGAACCCTCGATGTTCTTGAGCATGTCGGGGACGATGTTTGGAATGCGGATGAACCAAGAGGGAACGGCCCTGTAGATAAGGGGAGTGTCGGAGCGAGGGCACATGGGGTACGAGTGCTTGAGCTGAGACTCGTTGGCGATGCGACCGGCGTTCTTGAGGTGCTTGATGATGTGCTTATCAGCCTCCTTCACATGCAGGCCCTTGAAATCGGAGACCCGGTCAGTGAAGTGACCGGTGTCGTTGACGGGGTCAGGAGGTGGTCGCTTCTCGGTGATGATACCTGCAGCTGCAGCAACATTGTAATCATCTTCACCAAACGCCGGTGCCTGGTGGACGATGCCCACACCACTGTCGTCTGTAACGTAGGTTGCGTTCAACACCCTGAATGCAATGTCCTTGAACTCCTCGTAAAAGTAACCGAAAGGAGGGGTGTATTTCCATCCCAGCATATCCTTACCGAGAACCGTTCCGAGCTTCTTGAATTTAGCCTTCTTGGGATCCTTGTACAAGGTACCCAGGAGCTTCTCGAGAAGGATAAAGGTCTTTCCTGTCTTCTCATCCAGAATCTTGACATACTCAAAATCAGGGTGAGCTGCGAGACCAAGATGCGAGGGCAGTGTCCAAGGTGTGGTGGTCCAGGCAAGTAGGTTGATTTCAGGATCGTCGACAAGGGGAAATGTGACGACAACTGCAGGATCAGTGACATCTTGGTAGTTCTGGTTGGCCTCGAAATTGCTCAGGGCGGTGGTGAGAACAGTAGAGTAGGGCATAACTCGATGTCCTTGGTAGACCTGGTCCTTGTCGAACAGTTGCTTGAAAACCCACCATTCAGATTCCATGAACTTTGGGTCCATAGTCTGAAGGAGTGCGGTTAGCTATCTGGCTGCGGGTGTAGATAAAATGGATGTTTCTTTACCTTGTAATCGTTGTCGAAATCAATCCAACGTCCCAAACGCTCAATGGTGTGTCGCCATTCGCCAGCATAACGCATGACAATGGATCGACACTCCTCGTTGTACTTAGCGATACCGAGTTCCATGACGGCAGCCTTTCCAGAAATCCCCAGCTTCTTGTCAATCTCATGCTCAATGGGCAGACCGTGTGTGTCCCAGCCAAAACGTCGCTCGACGTGGTAGCCCTTCATGGACCAGTAACGAGGGATAACATCCTTGATGGTGGAAGCCAAAAGATGGCCGTAGTGAGGCAGACCGGTCGCAAAAGGAGGGCCATCATAGAAGGTATATCGAGGGCGTCCTTCGGACAGTTCAACCTGTCGCAGGAAGGCATCGATTTCCCGCCATCTTTGGATGATAGCCTCCTCTTCTTTCGGGAAGTCGATCGACATGATTGTGATGGTTCGCCTGTAGGAGGAGTGGTTAGTGGACAAGTTTTGAACGAGGTGATATGAGGAATCATAGAAGAGGCGTAGTCGTATCTAAGTAGGTGGCTATGGGAATGGACAAGAAAGAAATGTTTGACTCACCGGCGATGCCTTGAAAGTGTCGCTACCTTAGGTATCTGCGACAAACCTTTGATAGGACGGGAGGGGCAAGTTTAAGAAAAAAAGGCAGCTCGCTCACCCGCTCGCGATGGTGGGTGAGTCAAGCAGAAGCGACGGAACCGGAGGTGGGGTCAAATTTGTGCCCCGCGTCTAGGTAGGTCAGTCAGTCCCTACCTAGGTAAGGTACCTTATTAGTTCCATGGAGGGGTTCAAGGATTCCTCATAAGGTACGGTACCTACATACCTACCATAGGTAATCACAGCACTCCCTGTCTCTACCTTGCTTATAACCATAAATAAAGAATGTTAATAGTTCGAGTTTGAATTAATCTACATATCAACTACCTCAAATACTCTAATTATGTAACTCAGTACTTACCTACCTAACTAAGTACCTTGGTTTTAAAGATTAAGCAAAAAAGTATTTTCTGGCAGGCCAGCATGACACTTACTAAGGTAGCCCATCAAGAGATGACACAAGACCGACACCAGCAGATAATGGATGTATGTATGGCCTCAAATGGCACCAAGGTCTATGAATCTTGGTAGCTTCTAGACCAATTTACTAAGCATGTGTAAGATTTGATGTATTACAACCAATTTCTTTCTTTTAGCAATGGCACTAGTCATGTCTCATCGCGGATTGAGATTAGCGATTGTGTCACTCAAACGCCAAGTTTACAGCGCTCTAGCACTAAAAGGACCAGGGCCTGTTGGGGCATGCATGGTTGCTGTCCGCCAGACAAAGCAAAGCAAAGCAAATAGGATCGAGCTTGATGAAGTGTTTGTTTATACTTGGTTTTGTTTGCCAACATCAACCTACTCTGGTATGACTTTAGCATACATGTCGCCAGCGTCTGTGTCTCATCCTTCCGCTTCGGTTCATCGTGAATGAGGTGAATACCTACCTACCAAAGGTAGCCAGTCCTTGTGTTTCTCAAGGGAGCTAAGTTACCCAGTAAGTTAGGTAGCTATTCGCCGCTACCTATTCGGTTCTGAAACCAAAACACTATCGATAACAAACCTGACGTCGCAAGACCGTCAGTTACATACCATAACACTACTAGCAACTCACTTTACACAAACAACAGTCTGGACCGTGATAGGTTCTTGTATGGCTGTGATACCCTTGTATTCCTTCTTCGACAATCGCGTTATAACCTCGAACCATGTCGTTCCTGTTTGGAAGAGCCCGCACACGCACAGTTGCTGATCTTCCCAAGCAGGCCCGCGAGCATGTCTTGAAGCTCGAGGGGCCACAGGGCCCTTCCAAGGTAGCAATCATATCACCTCACCTCGATTCAAGGGTAAAGACTGATACTGACTCTAAAAGGCTGAAGAGCTTGCCCGAGTCTTGAGCCAGATGAAGACTATCCTGCAGGGAACTCCCGGTACGCTGCTTCGCCTTTCCCCACGAACCCCCTGACTGTATGGCTAAGACATCTTGCAAGAGGCCGATACCTCTCCAGAACAGATCTTACAACTTGTGACTGGTCTCATCGACGAAGATCTCCTCCACCTCCTCGCCGTCAATCTCTTCCGTCTTCCATTCGAGTCACGTAAAGATACCCAAGTCATATTCTCCTACGTCTTCCGCTTCCGTCCCGCCACCGCTGCCCCCAAAAGCGATCCTCTCGCACTATCATACGTTGTCTGCAATCGACCCCAGGTCCTAGTTGAGCTATGTCGAGGGTATGATCACAAGGAGAGCGCTACGCCAGCAGGTTCGGTTCTACGAGAACTACTCAAGAATGAGGCCGCCGCGGCAATCATTCTATACGACGACGGAGACGAGCCAGGCTCGAGTTCCAAGGGTCTGAACGCCATTGACCGTGACCGACCCCAAAGTGGCAGAGGCGTGTTCTGGAGATTCTTCGATTGGGTTGATAAGAGCTCCTTCGAGGTGGCAGCAGATGCTTTCACCACTTTTCGAGTGAGATTGGTTTACGGTACCTGAATTACTGCCTTTTGCTGATACGTACTGTAGGAACTCCTGACACGCCACAAGGACCTTGTACCAAGATACTTGAACGCAAACTTTGAACTCTTCTTCGACAAGTACAACAACATCTTGGTGCAGTCCAACAGTTATGTAACCAAGCGTCAGTCCATAAAGCTTCTCGGTGAGATCTTGCTTGATCGCTCCAACTATAACGTCATGACTGCCTATGTTGATCGCGGGGAGCATCTCAAGATATGCATGAACCTGCTACGCGATGATAGGAAAATGGTTCAGTACGAGGGCTTCCACGTATTCAAGGTCTTTGTTGCAAACCCGCACAAGTCAATTGCCGTCCAGAAGATTCTCCTCATGAATCGCGATAAGCTTCTCACTTTCCTCTCTCACTTCCTCGAGGATCGGACAGATGACGAGCAGTTCATCGATGAGAGAGAATTTTTAATCAAGCAAATCCGCGGCATGCCATCAGTTCCCGTTGCTCCTCAACGGTGAACGTATTCATGCCGCATTGCCTACTTAGTCTGGACAAACATCTTCTCACCATACCATTTTGCACTTGTGCGGCGTTTTCAATGCTTTTCTTCCGACCGACAGCGATTCATGAGACCAAGGGGCACAGTTCTCCATTCATCACAATGGCATAGCATGACGCGCAGTTTTGTCTTTTTCTTTTTCTTTTTCTTTTTCTTTTATCCCTACAGTACCTGTGTTGAATGGCCCTGGCGGTAGCATTGATTGCAACCAGGCTATGCATGTCGTTTCGCTGATCTTGGTTCATGATATTATTATACAAAAAGACGCTCCCAACGCCCCCTTGCTTCCAGAATGTGGCCAATTAAACATGACACAAACTCTATAACTCCAATTGGTTTGTCACCAAGTGCCGTCCTGGCGTGTTGACAGTTTTCAGGTGCATGCTCATCGTTGCTGCTTGGAGAGCAAGACATTGACACTCTCTCGCGCATTTTGGGTAGCCCAGACGCTATCTTTTCCACCACGGCGCCACTCGTCACCCGATGCATGCTCTCCACCTCCTCTGGGCGCTTCTCCCATAATGACCTCGAGGTCTCTCTTTTGAGAACTTAGCCAGTTCTTGATAAAGTTGGTTGGATCCTTGCCAAGAGACTGGAAGAAGGAATGTTTGGCCTTCGACACGGCGATCGCTTGAACCACCTTGGCGAGCTGGTCGTCAAGCCCCGTCACGTCCTTGAGCATTGCAATGTACTGAGGGTTGTTGAGCATCGGCAAGAGAGTATCACGTAGGGGATCGTCCACTGGAACCTGGATGTCATAGATCGTAGGCTGGGGATCCTTGTGAAACTCCTGGTCAACTCGGATGGTGTATGGCAAGCGAATTGGCTCCAGAGGTCGCAGGTGTTGCTGGACATACTCGTTGAGCAAAGGGATGTGTCCGATATCACCCTGCCTTATAACCTGTGGGGACCGTCAGAGCCAAGTCAATATCAACATAGGTATATGCATAAACCAACCTTCTTGAGAGGCTCATTGCACCGGAAATTGCGCTTCTCCTCATCTTCCTGTAGTCCAAGTAACTTGATGTACTCCCAGAGAGCCATGACGGCCTCTTGATGGGTAGCATCTTTCATATCAACCACTTCGGCAAGCTCAGGGGTCAGTTGGTATCTCTCGGGTGTCTCCTGACGGAACAGGTTGATGGTGATGTTTTGGTTTTCGTCTCCATTTCTCTTGAAGGTTAGTTCATCAAAATCAGCGGCTGCTGGAAGGTTGGCACCGGGTTGGTTTCGGGCCGGAGCATCTGGCTTCTTCCATTCCACTGTTTGTTCGGCGCCTGTTCGGAATCGAGATCGGTCGAAATCGACAGTCAAAGACTTAAAGAAGTGCGAGAATCGGGGTTTCTCTTGTACGTTGGACTTCTGTGCTGAATCGCCAATCTCCTTTCCTTCTTCTGTGGTTGACTCCTGTTTCTTGAGTTGCTCGGTCTCCTCGTCTTCATCGTCGAGTAGACGACCTTCAATCTTGACTCGGTACGACGCCTCCATGCTAGGGGTAAAGTCAAACGAATCAGAGTTGAGTCCATTGCTCTGCCAGATTTGATCCTCGACCGTGTTGGTGATCCAAACTCGCAAGGTTTTGTATCTCTGAGCCATGAGTTAGTCAGTTCCTCCCGATAAACGTATTATTGTCGAACACACCTTGGATCCACGGCTGGTATAGTCGACAATGTCCAGACGCTTTCGTGTGATAGTAGCATCAAGACGACGCTCGACATCTCGGAGTTGTTTGTACCGCTGAGCACCGTCTGGATCAACAATGCTGTCCTCAACTCCATCGGGGATGTTTTTATCTGTAGGCTTTCGACTACGTCGCTTAGCTAGCTCGCTAGCGTGAGCCTGAACCTGTTGTTGCTGAGCAATCTGTGCCTGGGTGAGGGGAACCGAAGGGTGAGGTCCTGAGGACATCATGGGTCCTGAGAAGGCGTCCATGTTAGTAGATGATTGATGAACGTGGTCGGATTGCGCAAAGGATGGGGGATGGGTTTTAAGCGTACCAATTCCACCACGTCGCTGGTTTGTCGCATGAGGCGAGCGTTGCGGAACCTGCTGCGCATAAGCGCGATATTGAGGCTGCATTTTACCGAAAAAAAAACAAAGTCTTGTGTTGGGGTTCGGTAGGCGTCAGCTGGCGGGATTACAGGTTGATCGTGTCGCGTCGCATCGCATTGCTGCGTCGCGAGGAAACGGTAGCCGTCAGTCGGTACCTTAGCAAACTTTATTACTCATCCAGTCACGTGACCATTTCCACCTTCAACAATATGAACTCCCTAGAAGCCATTTATCCTTTTTGTGTGTACCTAGGTAATTGAATATGATTTATATCTAAGAAATGCTGATGTCTCTGAATG